GTAGTGGGGGAGACAGAGAGGGAGACACAGAGTCCGAAGCAGCCTCCAGGCTCTATCAGCACAGAGCCCGACGTGGGGCTTGGACTCACGAACTGCAAGATCATGACCTGAGCTGAAGTCAGACGCTTAACCGACTTCCAGGTGCCCCTCCTTATCAGTTATGTTTAATAGCTGTTACATTCACATATTTAGATCTTAATTTGTTATGTCATTTCTCATTTCTATTTCATTTTTATAATTTTAATTTCTGCTGAAATCTTACTTAAGATTTTATAATTCTGTTATTTGGATCTATTGTGGGCCTGTGGTTTCTCTTGGATTTCAGTTAATTTTTTAAATTGTTTTTAAAAAAATTTTTTTAATGTTTATTTATTTTTGAGAAAGAGAGAGAGAGAGAGATAGAGCATGAGCAGGGGAGGGGCAGAGAGTGAGGGAGACACAGAATCTGAAGCAGACTCCAGGCTGTGAGCTGTCAGCACAGAGCCCAACATGGGGCTCGAACTCACGGACTGTGAGATCATGACCTGAGCTGAAGTCGGACGCTGAACCAACTGAGCCACCCAGGTGCCCCTTTAAATTCTGGCTTTGATTGAACCCCCATTGTGTATGCAAAACCTTAGTGATAACTTGATGCTCAGGATAATGCTATTTTCCTCTTGAAATTTTTGCTTTGGTAGAGTGTTAGATTTAGAGAAGCTCGCTTTAGTACAATCTGTAACTGAGCTGGTTGGGTCTCAGCATCGGTCTGTGAGAGGGATGGCCCGCCTTTGCTCACTTTCACTGTTAGGATATAGCCCTTGTAGGGAACACGACAGAGAATTCTGGATGTTTATGAGTTTCTCACTTTTCAGTGAGCCTGAGCTCCAAGTACTTGTCTCCACAACCCAAAAGAACACTGGAAACTCCTCTCAGCTTCTTAACCTCTCATCTGCTGTTTGTGATTCAGAAAATGCATCTGGCGGAAAAGCTATGCCAAAAGCTTATATTGTGCCTTGTTTTCAACTCTGGAATCTTAGCTCCTTAAATCCAATCTCCCTAAATCCTAGATCTCAGGTTATCTTCGAACAGATGGTGTTTAAAAATTGTGGCTTGCCTTTGTTGCGTTCTTTGTAGGAAGTTTGGGCTGCAAGAACCTAGTCCTTGATTGCTGAAAATGGAAACTCTCATTTTCATATTTTTAGCTACTACCAAAATCAATCTCTATAGTGAGCTTTCATTCAACTCCTAGGTATGTATTTTCAACTGCCTAATAGATCTCTCTACTTTAATGTCTCATAGTTATCTTAAATTCAATTTATCCAAAAATAGAATTTATCATATTATTGAAGCCTGCTGTGTCTTTTACATTTTGTATCACTCAATCCAGAAACTGGCGGTGGGGGGGGGGGTTGTTTTAGATTCTTTTTTTCCTTCATCACCTATGTTTAATCAGTCACTATAGCTAAAACTTACCCTCTTTTTCATTAGTTTTCTGAATCATTGCAATAGTTATCCATTACTCCCTCCCACACTCTAGCCGTTCTTATCAAATTTAATCTTTCTAATGCATTTCTCCCTATTCAATACTTTTTCCTCAAAAATAAATCCAAGCCGGTCATTCCCTACTTAAAAACTCTTCAATGGCTTCCCACTATCTTCAAGATACAGTTCAATACAATATAGTCATCAATCTTTGATGATTTGACTTAGTATCTGGCCTTTTCTTCCCTCTCCAACTTTCACTCGAACTGCTCCTTCTTGTCATTGTGTTTTAATTATATTTTAGTTATTAGAATATACTATGATCGTTTTCACATTTTGGTTTTTGCACTAGCTACTCTCATTTGAAATGTCTCCCCACCTTCCAATCTGCTTCATCAACTACAATTAACCCCCCTGCTCAGAGGCCATATCCTTCATAAAGCTTTATTTCCTCTTATATCCCAACAGAAGGATCATTATCTCTTCTGTGCCACTTCATTTGTTTCATACTTCTGTGTATATATATATACACAGATTATATATATATAATCACACTGCATAGTCTTGATTTGTTACCTGTTTGTTTCTTCCCCTAAAACAAAAAAACAAAAAAATCTTCGTGGTGAGGTCCCTTATTAGTCTTTGATACTCCTGAGTTTAATATAATCATTAGCACATGGAAGACACTCAATGTGTGTTGAACTGAAATTCTTAGACCCATGAAATCTTTTTATAGCAACTGATGAAACCTTTTGAGAGACAAGGCCGAAAACCAACAAAAAACGGCAGCACATTTAAAAGACAGCTACATGAACTCACTGGCATGATTGATTCTGCTGAGCAAGGCTTTCTGAAGTGCTGTTCCCTATTAGAAGACGGGGGAATCTGAATTCAGAACAGATTCTTGGGAGATTCTCCTGATTATGAAAAAGCAGCCTGTTCACTTTGAAAAGCAATTGAACAGATGATCAAAGCAATGATGAGAAATAAGAAGCAAGGGAAATGAAAGGGAAGAAAGACAGCAGAGACTTTCAGGGCAGGAAGGAACTTTAATGAGGAGAGAAACAGTCAAAGAGGAACAATGAAGGGACTATGAGTCGGATGACTTCGGATTCATCCTTTGTTCAAGTAGAAGCTAGTTCTGGTAGAAGAAGTCATACTGAAATGTACTCTTTACTTGTATTTTAAAGTTTTCCTGAGAATTACGTAGTATCACTCACCAAGTCTTTATAGCCTGCCCTCTAGAGACAAACACAGATCTTTTTTTATGGTCTCTTACAAAAGCTCTCTTAGGGAGAGGTGACAGCTTCAGAGTTAAGACAGGGTTGACAGGTTCAGAGTACTAGAAGATAATTTTTCCCTCATAATAACGTATTTAAATAGGGAAAAGCTTTCTACTTGGAGCCTACAAAAATATGTGCAGAGAAATTTCTTGAATACCGAGAAGAAAAAATCCAACTTGTTTTGTATTTTCTTTTGCGCAACACCTGTGGGCTTTGTAGCAGCTTTGTTATACAGAGATATCATTAGGGCCCACAGCAGGTATGAGCACCAGGAAAAATCTCACATTTTTAAGGTTCTTAAAAAGTACTCTCAAATTCCTCTGGGACAGCTGTGAGACTATCTTCATTATGACGACTCTGAAAAAAAAATTAACCTCATGTAAATCATATCATGCTTCCTAATATCATACATCTAATAAAGACTTAGTTTTAAAAAAAAATATAAGCAGTACTGATGTTTATAGAGTAAAATGTCAAAGTTCCATTTGTCCTCTTTCTGTCCCATCTCTACTTCTACCCACTCTCTTAATTCCTACTAGACGCTGGTAGATTTGGCAGACTTCCAGACTTTAACAACAACAAAATATTCTTCTTGAACACGAACAGATGCCAGCACCCCACAAGTTACCTTGTCACGATATTTCCCAATTTCTACCCATTTCTTCCTTCCCAAAGTCACTGTCATTTTGACTTTTAGGTAATTAATCATTTCTTCCTAGTTTTACTAGCTTGCATCCCTCCGTAAACATTACAGTTCAGGTTTAGTTTTGCCTGGTTTCAAACATCATACGAATGGAATCATAAAGCATGCATTCTTTGAGTCTGACTTTCCATACTTAACATTGTATAAATGAGAATCATCATGTTGTTAAGGGTAGGTACAGTTCATTTTAATTACTATGTCAAATTTTGTTAGAGTAACATTCCTCAATATATTCACCACTCACCCATTTGCACTGTTTCCACGTTGGGACAATTATGAATTAATATTGGTATTTCCCGGAGAGTATACCTTAGTACATTGCCACACACATTTCTGTTGGGTACATACTAAGAACTAAAATTACTGATAGGGTATGTACACCTTAACTTTCCATAATAATGCCCCAAAAGTTTTCAAAGTCGTTGTAATATTTTATATTCCAAGTAGGAGTGAAAGATTTCTTTTACCCATAGTCATTATCATTAGTTAGAATTGTATTTTGAAATGTAATCATTCTGTTAGGAAATTAATATCTCAGTGCAGTTTTAGTTTAACCTTATTATTGAAACGGTTGGATTTATGTCTAATACCTTGCTATTTCTTTTCTATAGGTCTTGTGTCTTTTATGTTCCTCCCTTACCTATTAATACTTTCTATATATTATCTTAATTTTTTGTTGATCTTATTTTCTTATAATTTTTCAGTGTTCTTACTCATTAGTCTAGGACTTACAATGTGCATCTTAATTTACCACAGTGTTTCAGATGAATGCTAATTTAATTCCAGTAAAATATAGAAACTTTGTTCTCATATAGCTCTATTCCTTCCACCTTCCTTTGTGTTATTATTGTCATATTACACCTACATGTCATATAGTCAACAATACCGTGTTATAATTATTGATTTTGTAAACTTATTTCTTGAAATTTCAGAAAAAAAGGAGAAAATATGTATGTATAGAACAGGGATTGGCAAATTATGCCATATGGACCAAATTTGGCCCACTGCCTGTTTTGGAAAGTTTTATTGGAATAAAGCCATATCCATTCATTCATATATTGCCTATGGCTGCTTTAATGCTACAAGTTAGAGCTGAGTCATTGTGACAGATGGAATTAAGGTTGATAATCACGTGACTTGAAAAAAAAGATTATTTTCGATTGTCTGGGTGAGTTCAATGCAATTTACGCAATTGTCTTTTAAATCAGTTAAGAGAAGCACAAAAGATATATTTATATTGTTTTTATAGTCATCTGTGTAATTACCTTTACCTGATGCTCTTTATTTCTTCAGGTGTTGAGTTCCATCTGATATTACCTTCTTTTAGACCAAAGAATTTCCTATAGTGTCTAAGGCAGTTCTCCTAGCCACACATTCTCTTTGTTCATCTGTGTATGTCTTTATTTCACCTTCATTTCTGAATGGATAGTTAAAGGATACAGAGTTCACGCTTGACTGTTTTTTCCTCCAACACTTTAATATGCCATCTCACTACCTTCAGGCCTCCATTGTTTCTATTTTTTTAAAAAATTTTTAATGTTTATTTTTGACAGAGAGAGAGAGAGAGAGAGAGAGAGAGAGAGAGAGAGAGACGGAGTGTGAGTGGGGGAGGGGCAGAGAGAGAAGGAGACACAGAATCAGAAGAAGGCTCCAGGCTCTGAGCTGTCAGCACAGAGCCCCACGTGGGGCTCGAACTCACAAACCATGAAATCATGACCTGAGCTGAAAAGTCAGAAGCTTAACGACTGAGCTACCCCAGCGCCCCAGGCCTCCACTGTTTCTGATGAGAAGTCAGCTGTTAACCTTATAGTGGTTCTATTGTATATGAAATCAATTTTTCTCTTGCTGCTTTTAAGATTTTCTCTCCTTTTAAAATAAGTTTGGGTCTCAGGTGTCTAGGAGTGAATCTCTTTGTGATTATTCTAAGTGGATATTATTAAGCTTCTTACATATATAGAATAATACTTTTCATCAAATTTAGGAAAATTTTGGCCATTATTTCTTCAAGATTTTTTCCTGTTCCTCCACTTTCTGGGATTCTCATTATGCATATGTTGATGTACTAGATGGTGTCCCATAGATCTCTGGGGCTCTATTAAATTTTCTTATTATTTCCTTTTCTTCAGATTGGATGATCTATATTGTTCTATCATGTTTGCTGATTTTGTCTTCTGTCAGAGATCTGCTCTTCAGTCCCTCTAGTGAGTTTTTCATTTCAGTAACACTGTATTTCTAAACTCCAGAATTTCCATTTGGTTCTTTTTAAAAATTAGTATCTCTTTCATTTATATCATTGTTTATTAAAAATTAATAGCTTTATATAAAGAACCGTACAGGAGGAGAGAGGGAAGATGGCGGCGTAGGAGGACGCTGGGCTCACCGCGCGTCCTGCTGATCACTTAGATTCCACCTACACCTGCCTAAATAACCCAGAAAACCGCCAGAGGATTAG